TGTTACTATTCAAAAATATGCAATATGAAAGAGAACGTTGTACCGAAATATGCAATTTCGCTGCAATTATCTTGATTTGTTGTTGTTGACGAAACGTTGCAGATGTTTTTTTAGAATACACGTTCAAGTTGAATTTATTTGTTACATATCGAGGAAAATCTAAAGAAAAACTGTTGTAAACAGAGCGCAAAATAAATAAAGAGAAATATCAAAAAATTTCAAACGCGATATTTCAATATTATGCTAATCACGTGCGATTAAAGACGTTTAGAAATATATTTTATATTAATTGGAACGCGTCATTTACAATCTATTCATTATTAATTTTTAATATTTATTACTTATATATTAAATTTTCATTTCCTGTTTATTTTAGCTGAAAGAATAAATTATAATTTTATGATTATAAAAAAATTTTGATTAGTAAAATTCAAAGAATGTGTGAAAATTTTTTGAATTTAAAAACGAGTTTTAGATTTTATTTGTACATTGCAGTATTATGCAAGCAATTAATCAAATAAAAATTTTCTCATTTTTGAATATTATATATTTTATATCCTTATACCTTCTTATCACTTGAAAAAATGAGTTGATTCTCTATTTATATTCCTACATATATATTATATTACATTATGAATTTATTTAACTTTTCCTCTATAAATTCCTACATATAATATTACATGTAATATTATATTATATTATATTATATTATATTATATATATATATATATATATATATATATATATATATATATTATATTATGAATTTATTTAACTTAATTATGTTATTTGTTTTACCTAACAAGCATGTAGATATTAACATAGATTTACATTTTCTGGCTTAAATATTATACTACAAAACTGAAAATCAAATCAATCAAAATTATCATTGCTAATATTTATTATATATCTGCTAATTAAATTTCTATTAGATATCTCATGGGTACAAAGATAATTTTTCAAAAAAGTATTATTATAATTGTGTTACTACGAAAGAATGAAATTCTCAGCATAATAGCCACGAAAGATTTCCTCGTGAATAACCACCGGCTATGGGTTTCTATAAAACATACATATTAAAATAAAATTACCATTGGCACGATAACGAGAAAGTAATAGCCGAGAAATAAAAGCGCACTTATCGATCGCGCATCAATTACAACGAAAGCTCGAATTATTCGCCTGGTCATCCATGAAATTGCGCGAAGAAGAAACCCGAACAGCTAATCCGAGCATACGGGAATGCTCGATTTTGTAATCGGATGCTGGAGCAAAATCAATGGCTGATTTATACCACCATGGGTGTATGGATTAAAAACATACGCAACCACCAGCATGCTTTGTCGCGATGGCGACCATCGTAAATACTTGACATAAACCGAAGAAAATTGGTCTCAATTTGCTACTATGTATTAAGTGGCGATGGGAAAAGTTATATCTGAAATTTCGCAAAAACCTTCGCTAGTGGATAACTGCGGAGATTTATAAAAGCTCGTGCAATCGATTACTATAGCGATCACGTGCGAAACGCCTTTAGCGAAATAAAAGCACGGCAAAACCGATTCGCGCAAGAGGATCGACATTGTTTCGGACGCTGGAGTTTTATAAAAAGGATTGCTAGCATGCATACTAGCGAGAAGAAGCGTTTCTAAAACGTCAATAAAAATGCGTATTTACTGAAACAGGAAGACAGGATTTGATTCTTGTCAAAATTTCTGTCCGTTTCAAACAAAATGCGTCAATTCATGGTGTCAGAAAGCTTTGTAGTAGAACGCGTTGCACAAGAATAGATTCCGATTGGGTGGCCGTTACCTGGAAATTTTCACGCGGAAATTCCAGCAATCTATGCGTTGATCCCATTTGATACCGCGTAACACTCTTTCGTTTATCAACGTTGTCTGTTCAGAAAATAGCATTTTCACAGAATAAAGTCACAGAACAGTAAACGTTACGCATACGTGCCTGACACACGTTAAATATAATTTAACAATCCGTTGCACTTGGCTCTCGATTTTTTTAATTACAGGTCGAGAAACACAGAGAATATATGCTAGCAAGTTTGCTCGTGTAAAGTCCCGAATAATTCTAGCGTAAAAGAAGATATAACGACATTGTAAGAAGAATATCGTTCCCATTTCTACGTACAAAGGAAGAAAAGTTAGAAGGTTTATTGTCCGCCCTTGGCTGACTTCTCATCCTTTTATCTCTTCTGCACCCTAACCTTTTTTATCCTCACAACGTCGTTTCGCCAATGTACACGACACGCAAGACTATTGCTCATATTTAATTCATGATGGGTCATTATTCATAACATTTCTCGACTTAATTCGTTCCCTTAGTCGAAAAGTACAAGTTTAGGGCGTGGCAGAACGATTTCGACCCTTTCCAACTTTGGTTAAAATCTATTAAATCATCGCATTTCTCGACTCTTCTGTCATCAATTGTATTTCTTGTATCGCCAAATAATTTTTATCCAACATCGGTTTGATATTTATTTTATTTTGAGAAAAAATATTTTATTATTGAGAAATAATTTTTCTATCTTTTTTCTTTTTAAAAATAATTCTTTTAGTATGCTTTGAGAACAGTGCGTTGTTTTAATGTTTGAAGAATAAGTGAATATAAGTGTGTTTTCATAGTATTCCGATAACTCAATGTTTCAATATAAATTTATGTGATTTTGTAAAGATGCGTTGAGGTATAAATATATAAGGAAGTGTTATTCAGTGAATAGTAAAATCAGATTTATATGTCAGCGAATGAAACAAGTCTCTGTAAATAAATTCTTGGAAGAAAAGATTTTTCAAAAGCCCACCTCTCAACAACGATGCTTTCGCGGAATTGAGCTGGAGAGATGAATGTATCAAACTATATAGAATTTCTATACGTTGACCGAAAAGAGAGAGCTCTGACATTTTACACGAAGAATGCGCTGACGGCAGAGTAGAATATTATATAGAAATGAATGTATTTTCTATAAAGAAATTCGATAAAGAAAGAAAGAATACCTCGATACATTTTCGATACAATGTGAAAAAAATAAGTATACATTTATGTAGAAATCATAATAATAATATACAATTTGTACGCATTGTAAAAACGATTGGATAATAGAAATCAAACAAAATTTATCATTATTGATATATAATAAATTAATCCAATAATAAATTTATTACACATTACTTGATCGGAAAGGAAAGACAGAGAAAAAGAGAGAAATATGAAGGAAAGATATGTGTCAAAAGCAAAATAATATGTGAGAATTCTTGTAAGAATCTTATTCTTACATATTATTTTGCACTGAGAAATGTGAATTTTTTTACTTTTTCATTATCCAGCGAGTTTATAGTTGGAAACGAGAGATGTTTGCTTTTTCAAGAAGGCAAACCTCGAAACTTTTCATACATCGTCGATCGTTCGCAACCCAATTTTGTTAATACGATGTCAGCATCGCAATAGTATACAATCGCAATAGCAAATATTTGCCATCTCATCGTAAGTCATCCACAAATAGAGAAATATTTTATAAATAAGTGAATAAAGAGAGAAAGAGAGGGAGATATATCTATTTAAAGAAATTTCTACTTTTATTTCAAATAATATCACTTAATGAAAATGTCAGCTGTTTCTCAAAATCTTTTATCATATTATTTTTTTGATGCGCAATTTTGTAAACGACTATTATTAAAAGAAAATACGTAAATTATATCTTGATAGAAAAAGACATATTTAGATATATTATATCATATTATGTGTATGTATTATATACATGTATGTATTATACATGTGGGCTATTATCAAAATTATCTAATTGTCTTGTAGTTAAATGCAGAGACAAACAAATTATAATCAAAAGATACATTGATGTAATAATTTATATAATTGCTGTTTTTAGTAGTCTAACAAACCATTTGTTTACTTATTTGTGAAACTAAGATTATTGTGTGAGCGCCCTAATTACATAAAAAAATCAATTTTGCTCTAGATGTAATTCTTTTTAATTCACCATGTATCACCCTACAGTGACGATCGATAAAAGTCTCGATGATATGAATACTCAACATCGCGTGTAATATTTTTATACTATAAATTTTCATATTATAACTATAATCGATATATAATAATCGATATTATAATATATCGATTATATCAATCAAAATGGCTCAATACATTGCATGATACATATATGTTTGAATCGCATCATATCGCTATTTTTATAAATTTGTTTGATTCTCTTATGACTTCATCTTTTTTTATTGACAAGCGGTAGCATGGAAGACTTATAAAAAAGATACGTGTGTATGTTAAAAACAAAATGCAATGGCATGAAAAAATCTGGCATTCGTTATTCGAAACACGTTCGCGACCGAGCAAATAACGTCACCGTCAGACGATGATGCTGGTGCATCGCGTTTTATGGTCGCGACAAGAACGTTGAGACTGCAAGCGCTCGGTGGAGCCAAAGGTACACAGGGTCCGTAACAAAGTTTTCAAAGACAACATCAGGTCTGATATTTAACGAGTTCATTCCACTCGGTTGCCGCGACAAAAACTGCAAACGGAAATCTCTATCTGCCTGCATCGTCCGGATCCTGCTCGCCATTCATTGCTGCCGCAATTTCTTCGGTCACGAGCACGCGTGCTCTCTAACATTCTGGATAACATAAAGGAAGGTTTCGACGCGTATTACTCCAAAAACCATTGATTCTAAGTAATGCAAAACAGAATGTTGAACTGCTATTTATAGGAGATACTCGGAAGTTTCAATTCCAATTGATTCAGAGTTTCGATCATGCGCGAATATATATATTTGACATATTGAGCCATTGATTAAAATAATAATATAATTACTAGTAATAGATTTGCAATTATATTCTTATTTATGGGAAATTATATTTGGATGTTTCTATATAAAATGTTGAAAATAAAATAGAAACTGCGTATAATCAGAAATGATAAAAGTAATTAATAAATAGGAGTATTTTTTTTCTAGATGTTACCTCAGCTTCCGGCGACTGCACTATCAAGGACGTCCGTGGCGGTTTTTCTGGCGGTATTTTCTTCAGCGTACCGGTGAAAGAGCTGGTAGGTACACCAGCACTCGTCGCTAAAGCACCCTCATGATTCTCGATCTGGCATTGAAGTCGGTGAAACTGGGAAAACGAAGTACGCGACGCGTCGGCGCGATCGAATTGCGGGAGGCACGGTAATGGCATTTGCGACATGTTCGGTATCTGAATGGAATTCGGATCGGAAACGTCGTGTTGTACGCGGGACGTCAGTTTCTCACACACGGACGACTGGCAGGCTTGAAGGGTGGCGTTTTGCGGATACGCGGTAGTTAGAAGTGTCTGATGAAGACCGTGTGCGGGTTGATGAGTCGGGCAAGATTTATCCGATGATTGTTCCTGATGATTCGGAAGGGGGCTCGCTTGAACCTGATGCGTATCGCCTGTCATCGGAAGCTGCGCGAAGTCGCCAGATATCTTGTGAGGTTTATCATTCAATTGACCTTGATTTTGCAAACTTTGCAACCGAGCTTGGAGATCGCTCTGTTGATGCTGAAACTGCGCAACTTTATCCAAAATTTGATTCTGATTTTGAAGACATTGTAGCTTGGCTTGGAGATCGCTCTGTTGACGTTCGAATTGGCTTAATTTCTCAGAAATTAAATCGAGACTCTGTTGATTTTGCATCTGTTGTTGCTGAACCTGAAGAGAATCTGTTTTCTCGCTTTGGTTCTCTAGCGTATTCTGCAAGTTCTCCATCTGGCTTTTACTATGAGTGAGCAAATTAGAGGTAGTATTATGACTTTTACGGTGACTGTGAATTATGTGATCAACTTGATCGATCGGTTTGCTGGCGATCGATTCGCCAAAATCTGTCACTACAGTTAGCACAGTTTTTGTATCTATTTTTGCCTCGCTGAGAGCTGGATATTGATGACAAAGATTCGGACTGGCTCTTTGCGATGAAGCGGTATTAGTTACTGATCCCAGATTCACTACAGATCCTGTGATGGGTTGCTCATCGAAATCCTTCCTCGAGAGTTCCATATGTTTTGTCAAATCGGCGCTGACGTGTCTCAGATGTCGACGTTGCTCCATTATAGTACTCTGACTAATATTAGGAATGGGTTGAAAGGCTGATTGAGACATTCTCGAGTCTTTTCGATCATCCAGCGGATGAATCGATCTGATATCTCTTCTTTCCTCCGAAGGATTACGAGAACGAGGACTTGTTGTAAATATTGGACCTTGAATTATACTCCTTTCGTGTTCTTGTCGCTGGCGTTGCTCCGCCCAGATCGCCAACTCCTGTCTAGTCTTCTCAAAGTTTTGGCTAACAAAGGAAGGACTTTTCTGTCCGGCGCGATCAACAGACGTTTCACGAATCGGCACAAACGGCATAGGCGATCTTCTTACATCTTCTACTCTTTTACTTTCTAGATTCATAGGTGACCTTCGATGTTCTTCGAAATAATCCGACCGTCTATTTTCTGAAGGAATGGCGTTTCTTTGATTCGGGCTCACATTACCCCACTCAGGCTTCCTATCAGTTCCTATACTCTTTCTATTTTCTTGTCTCGTATCAAACGCCATTGGTGATACACGCAGACCCGCATCCAATCTTCTTTGCTCAGTGGAAAACATTTGATTAGTCTCGACTCTTTTTGCGTCTGCTGCAGTTGTAGCTTTTCTTCCCGAGATTATCTCTTGATTACCATCGCCGGGAAACGTGAAGGTTATTGTATCATTTCGTCTTTGAAAGCTGGTAGTTACATCGACCGATATAGACTTTCTGTGTTCCGATCGGGATACGTATAAGCCGCATTCCGTAGCAATTGTATCAACCAGTTTCTCTCTGCCCGATTGATCGCCGTTTGTATCTACATACAGACCATCTTGTCTTGTTCTAGGATTTTGATTAATTGTAGTTAAATATCTTCTGTCCGACCCATCCGAACCAATCGGCGCGCCAGTAATTACAGCGCCGTCATTACGATGAACTGAATCTTGTTGAGCAGTCGGCGTCGACTCATACTTCGCTTTTTGCAATGCTGGCACATCGATACTCGCGGACTTTCTATGTCCAGGATCATGGGTGGTAATCTTGGAATTGCCACGAGGCGGTACCATTGGTTTCGGTCCTCGACAAGGTCGCTCTGTCGTCTGGATAGCGATCCCATGCGTTACATTCTGAGCAATCGGTTGAATAATCGGTTGTGTCTGATATTGACCGATTTCTTGCGAAAATCTCTGCGGATTCGGCGACTGTTGGCTAGGGTATTGTTGAGCAGGATAAATAGAACCGGTGTGTGGATTGTATGGCAAGGCATTCATGACTGTCTGCGGATATTGACTATAAGAATATTGCGGCTGTGTGCCAAATTGAGTATAACTCGGTGGTTGTGGTACAATTACACCCGAGTAATACGGTGGCTGCGGACTGGCGGACTGCGAAGGTATCTGTGAACCATGTTGAACCGTTACGTATTGACCCTGCCCAGCAAACATGGGATTAGTCGCACCGCTTTGACTGTAAAGAGTCGGATCACGATAAGTAACATCTCTTGTTACATAACCAGCTCTATCGGAATATTGCGTTTGAGGATAGATTTGCGACCTCACCTCAAATTGTCCCCGTATCTGCGGATATTGACTTTGATCGTAATCAGAAGCAAATTGTGGATATGCTTGCACCGGTACCGTTTGAGTGCTCGTTTGAGACACGTGTTGAGTTCTATCCGTATTACTTTTCTCTTGACTGTATTGCGGAGGTGGTAATTGACCGGTTGAAGGATGTTTATCCTCTGGTAATCCTACGGATTGCCTTCTTCCCGACGGATATTGTGCTACTGGATGAGCGAGTTGTTGCTGCTGCTGATCCTGAACTTCTCCTGCAATCAAGATATTCTGTGTTTTTTCTTGAGTGAATTTCTCATAATCCATAGTTCGATTTTCGAATCCGTTAGAAAGATCTTGTTTTGTAGAATCGGCGAGCGGTTCAGCACGACCGTTCTGGCACGTTGTCTGTTGATTGTCGGTCGTTTGTCCAGCTTGATTTTGTCCTTGAGCGTCATTCAATCCACCCGACCCGGACTGCGACATATTGGTGGCCCCCACCGACGGTCGTCCGCCGATGTAGCCAAGGATTCGCCCCAATCCGCACACTGTGACGATTTAGTGAGCAACACTGCCAAAAAGATTTAAGCTACCCTGAATGTTGCCGCTACAAATTGTGTCTCTTCTTATTCGTGTCAGATCCACATGAATTATGTAAAGATTAATCTTGTGATCAGTGTTTTCGATGTCTCTAAAAATTTTTTCAGACAATTTTTTACTCTCTTTTTTCTTTTGTTGAATTATTAATTAAGTAATTATTTAATTGCTCATTATTTGGCTCAAAAAATTATTGTTGAGTGATTCTTTAAGAATTATATTTTTCTTTATTTTGTTTGGAATGATAATTATTGACTGTGTCATAACCAACAATATTCGTTCCGTATATTACTTGTGATAAATAAGATAATAGAAAATTATCGATAAGATTCGCCAAAGAAATTCCGTAATGTTTCTTGCAGTTATCGATTTGCTCGCTGATGGTTCTCACGAAACGTGATTACAGCGGTGAAATGTTTCTTTTACTTATTTTTCCACGCTCTTTTGTAAACACTTGGTGCTTTGAGCGATGTCGTTACATACGAGAGTTATCCTCTTTTCTTCAATCACTTTGTCCGTTATAAAAGTACTTTTTAGAATGACAGTCCCAAAAAACTCATTCTTTCAATAGCGACATTCTTTGCTTCTTCCCAGTTTAGGACATCGTATATCTATGTTTTTGTCTATAGATTTGTGCGATATATATATATATATATATATATATTTAATATTATTATAAACGTAGACTTTTGATTATCTCGACATTGATTGAAAACATTGTAGCTACATATAAATTTTTCCAAACATTATATCTGACGATTTTAATTTTACTTTGATTTTTTATCCATATTCTCTATACATCTTTTGATTAAGTTGTTTCTTGAACTTTGTAGAAACAAACTTTTGTTTTCTGATGATAGCGACTTCGATCACAGTTAGTCGTTAACTTTTGAGAAGGAAAATAGCTCGATCCTAACTTCACGAGAACATCGTTTCGTTAATGTGTCCATTGCTTCTGATAATAAACTTTGCATGTCTCTCCATTTTCAATATATTTTTGCTCGAACTATGCATCCAATTCAACTTATCTGAAAAAACACAACTTTAAAAATACACCGAACATCTTTCGATGCATTTGCATCGTGGATTTTTGCCCTCAATAATCAAAATAGGGTAACTTGCTTATTTGAAAATATATTTTGTTCAATATTTTCACGTAAAAAGGAGAGTAATCCATATTTCAATAACATTAAGAGATAAAAGATTTTTTATTAATAATTAATGTTCTTTATTATATAAAAGTTAATAAATTATTATAATAAATTATTATAATAATAAATTTATTAATAATAATTTATTAATAAAATATAATATTATTTAATTATTTGATAAAATACATTAACTTATTGATTTAAGTAATTGTAAGTTTTTTATATATTTATAAGAGAGAAAAAGATAATTTTATTTAAATTTTAATTTATAAAAATTTTATTATCGTTATTATAGAAGATTTTTTAAAATTTAAACTTAAATATTTAATGATAATACGAAAAAAAAATTATTGTGCGTTAGGAGAGAAAAACGTTTTATAATGTATTTTATTGCCAAAAAAAAGAAAAAATTATTTTCCCGATTTCCCAAGTGTCTCATGATTATCGTATTTTCTACGAACAGAGCCATCTTTCACTGCCAGAAAGTTAATTTTCAGGAAATAGCGACGATGAAAAGTTCTCATCAGTTTGCATGCACAGCTAACCGATGAAATATTAGTAACAGTAAAGTACTGAAAATTCTCCTCCCACTCTCATCAGTTTATGTAGAATAATCAAGTACATTGTAAAACTTGTTTTACATTTAATTCCAGGATTGCTTCCTAAAAGTGAAATAAATGATGAAATAACTCTTTCATTTATATTTTCTATTTCTGTACTTTGAGATATTTAATTTGAATATCAAAGAGAAATTTCAACAACGTAACGCTTATAACTCTGCTTTTACTTCAAAACTATATATACAAAATATACTAATATATGTATTAATTAATTATTTATTTATATAAGTTTTATCAATTAAGTATATATTTTCTATTAATATTCAAAATTATATATTTATTTTCAATTATATATATTTTCGATTATATTGTTCTATTTATATATATTAAGTTCTCCTAAGTTTAATACTATTTAATATGGTTTTTTTTTATAAATATATAATAATATTTTGAAATTTTATGTTACTCAAATAAATGTTCACTACTGAATTTCTAAAATAATAATAAATTGTAAAGCGATATAATAACGAATCATGCAGCATTTTTCTGCAATTGAAAAAAAAATTGGTTACAACTTTCTTAATGTACTTCATAAATAATCTAATGCACAAAATGATGAACGTGATAGCTAAAACTGTTGCTCACTCATAATCATACGATAAAATTTCCTTTACTGCCTTATCCTGATTGAAAATTGCATATTTAAAATCTCATTTGTATTAGACGCTTCTACTACTACATTTTTTTTTTATTGTACATATGAGCAGAGATAAATATTGTTAGTTTATGTCTAAAAGAAAAAAGCGGATTTAAAATGAGAAAATACGTAGTAAGAAGCGGCATATTGTACAATTTGTTCTACGTATATATGTAGAATTATTGTCCTTATTTCTTTCTGTCATATATATGCCTGCTATAGAGCTTTAGAGCTTTTTCTTCAAATGCATGATGCACATAGCACGTGCAGTACATCTTCATACATTTCGCGTGTCATATATTCAAGCTACTAATACATTGAAAGTCTAAGCGTTTGTAGGATAGATCCATGCACATCTGTGTTCACATTCTCTCGAAATGGATTCGTATGTACATGCTTATAGGTCCATAATATTCCTGCCATTCTATGTACCTTTGTATGCGTGTTTATACTTATTCACAGAACTAACGTGAATAAGTTATTTATTATGTTAATACATATGCAAACGCTTTTATCTTGTTTAATACATATAAAGATTCCCCCTGTCTTTCTCTCTCTCTCTCTCTCTCTCTCTCTCTCTCTCTCTCTCTCTCTCTCTCTCTCTCTGCCTAGTAAAAAAGCATCCTTACTTAAAAGATATCACGATCAATTATATTTTATAAATTATATATATTTTATATATAAATTATATATATTTTATAAATAATATTTTAAATTACCTTTTGTAATTATAAACATTGCCTTGAGTAATCTATGAGAATAATGCATGTCTAATGTCGAGTGCACGCACTATATGACGTTAAACTGTCTGGAGGACTTCATTTTCGCGAATTATTCGCTAGCGATAGCAATCATACATCTATTCTCCGCGACTATGAGCCGAATTATAGCATCAAATTCGCATTGTCAGCGAAAGCAATTCTCGTAAAGCATGTCGTTTCGCGTATATACGTAAGACTTTATACAGTTTATCGATAATGGCAGTTCACTAGTTTATGCAAAGACGATAAAATATTCTCAAAATGGTAGTTACATATTATAATATCTTTATAATATATATATATATATATATATATATATATATATTACATCTTATTATAATATTTTCAAAATTACAATATTTTTAATATTATTTTTAATTTATAATAATTCTGTATAATTTTAAAATTATATAGAAAGTTGTTTTTTGAGCTTATTTAATAAATGTATCATAAATGCATTTTTCTTTTGTGAAATGCTAATTTAATGTATACGTAACTCGAATATACGAAAATAATTAATTATTAAACAAACGAAATGTATTATATTTGCAACATCTCATAAATAAAAGCGAGTGTAATTTTATATTATATTATGAAATGTTAAGTTGAAAACTTTTTATGTGCTTGTTACGCATGACCACTCTGATATATCGTATATTTTTCTCGTTTGAATATAATTTGTAAATAATTCAAATCATATTTCGAGTTCCAACTGCTTAAAAAAATATCCGTGATTCTCCGCATACAATAAAAGCTTGAAAATATGTGCAAATGAATTACACCGAAATCCTTTATTTTAGAACAGTGGTTAACGTTGCATAGATCACAATTACTGGATTCAGATCAACAACCAAGATTAATGGACAAATTCTAGAACTAACTTTATATTCAAATTACCAAATCGGATCGACAATTGGTGCACTCAAGGAAACATAAACGATCGACCAAATTCGTGCCATTCTACAAACTAACTGAATCTCTAAATTCGATTCAAAGATGCAAAGATCTCAAATTATTAGAATATCATATAAATGCAAAGAACTCGAATTCAAAAGCACAAAAATATTCGATATATAATAATTATATATACTTATATATTGGAATAATTAGAAATTAATTTCTTTAAAGATGTATGTTACAATTCATAATTAAATAGATACCTTTTTTATTAATTATTATTTATTAATAAATTATTTAATAATTTAATAAATTAAATTAAATTATTTAATAATTTAATTATTATTTAATAATAATAATTAATTATTACTTTTATGTAATGTTACTAATAGAAAATATATCATTATTAATTAAATTATGTTATTATATTTGTTAAATTATTTTCAATCTATTCTCTTATCAAATTTGAATAAAAAATATAAGAATATAAAATTTGAATAATTTTTTCAAATTTATTAAGAGTAAGAACATCTGTTGGAAACAATCTATTAGAAAGTTGCATCTTGTAACTTAGGAATACATTCAATTATTCGTTTTCAAAGAAAATAACGAACAGAAACATCAAATATGGAACATCATCAAGAATTAAGAAATTTTGCATGAAATTTGTGCTTAGTATCTTCAATCATCGGCAAATATTTTTCCGTTTATCTATATTTGATTACTTGCATTTCAAGTTTGCATCAATCTAGCCTGACCCAAATAGAAAAGTTCGCATCCTAATATAAAGTATCGATCCCGGATTTTTCTAGCAAGCTTCATTTCGTCCAAGTTAATTGAATCCTCGGAGCGATCCAATTGACGGGCGGCCAAATTTTACCAATTATCGTATCGAGCACCCGGGAGTCAATTTGGGGTATGGTCTAAAAATCGCTTATGCAGACGCAGCGGTTTAGCTGCGGCGATGTTAATTTCCGTGCGAGAGACGCAGAAAAAAATATCGAAGATAGCACCTCATGTTGCGCGCCTATTCAACATTGGTGAACGAG